TCATGACATCATGACTTCATAACATCATGACTTCATAACATCATGACATCATGACTTCATAACATCATGACTTCATAACATCATGACTTCATGACATCATGACTTCATGGACGGCTTAAAATCTTAAGTTTTAATGAAGTTAGTTTTAATTAATCAGAACCTGGACTTTCTCCATATCTTAGTCTGTTATGAGTCTCAGGATGTTTTAGACTTTAAGTTTAATAAACAGATTAACTCTGTTCTGCAGAAAAGCTTCTTCCAGTTGAGACGGATAGTTGAGTCCATGTAGTCCGTGCTTCATTTCGACCCTAGATACTGTAACACTTCGTGTTGGGTCAGTCACGTCTCCAGCTCGTCCAAACTGCTGCAGCTCGACTCTTTAACAGGAACTCGTAGGTTTGATCATTTTTCACCAGTTCTGTCCTCCCTTCACTGGCTCCCAGTATAACCAGAATAGATTTTTAAATTCTCCCATTGACCTTTAAGTGACCTTGCACCCTCATCTCTGAACTACTTGAACCATTTGTTGTTTCTCTGCGCTGAGATCATGTGACCAGCTGCTTTTGGTTGAAGCTCAGAGATCAGACTTTTTCAGTCGTGGTCCTAAACTCTGGAACAACGGGGCCCCATTAAACAGGACACTTCACTTCCTGTTTTTAAATCTTTATTTTAAACTGTTTACTTTTAACACTGCGATCTGATTTAGTATTTTGTTTTTCTTTTGATGCTTTTAATTAAAAAAAATGTTAAATTACCGTCATTGATTTTTATTAAGCACTTTAATAACAGCTGCTGTTTTGAAATGTGCTTTATCAATAAAGTTTTTCACTTCCTGTTTGTGTCCGTCCTCCAGCTGCAGCCAATCAAACGGCGGCGAGGCGAAAGCTCCTTCGACATCAACAACATCGTGATCCCCATGTCTGTGGCCGCCACCACCCGGGTGGAGAAGCTGCAGTACAAAGAGATCCTGACGCCCAGGTAAGAACCGGGCCGAGCCTTGCCCCCCCCCCCCCAACTCTGGGTCCGGACCTGATCGAACCTGATCCTTTCTTCTTCCCGTCAGTTGGCGGTCGGTGGACATTTTCTCTCAGCCAATCACTGAAGAGGAGAACGAACGAGAGGCGAGTCCCCTTCCTGTTTGTGTTTATTAAATTATGACCTTCATCGTGACCTTCAGGTTGAATTATTAGAGGACTGCGACACCTGCTGGTTGAACTGAAAACGTCTTTTAACGATGTAAATGTTTTTTCTGCGTTTGTTGTGACCCTGCAGGTGGAGGACCTCTCGGAGGCAGCCTTCATCCAGCTCCACCAGCCCTACGAGGACCAGGAGCGGTCCCGCTGGACCTGGATGGCCCTGGCTCCGGCCAAGAGGAGGGGCAGCAGGTGAGTCCTGGTCCCTCCCCCGGATCCTCCGGGCTGGTTCTCTGCAGATCGTCTCTAAGACCTGCATCTTTCAGGTCCTATAAGTCTGTGGACGGGAGGACCACCCCCCTGCTGTACGGGACCAACCCTCCCACCCCCCAGCCTGCGTCCCCGGACCCCGGACACTATCCCTCGCTCCACGATTACAGCCACGTGCTGTCCCCCATGAGCCCGGCCAGCCCCGACGCCTCGTCCAACCCCCACACGCCGTGCTCCAGGGACTCGCACAGACTGCTGTCCAACGAGGACACGAGGTGCTCCACGCCGGACTTCACCTTCGAGGAACGGGTACGTAGGTCCAACTCTCTCTCTTTCTCTCCCCCCCCACCCAAGAATATGTCTGGTACCTCCTAAAAAAACCATTTCATCAACTTTAATGTGAGTCGAACTGAAACGATGTAAACAAAGACGAAGGTTTTACGAGATTCAAGATGGCCGCCTCAGCACAGAACGACTAAACCTCAGGGTGGTAGTAGCAGACAGTGATCCCCACCGCTCTGAGTGATGACACATCTAAAGGTCTTCATTTAAGATGGCGGCCGCAGCCAGACCTGCGGTCGTCACGATTAGCGACACGATGCTAACCAGGTTAGCAGCTGCAGTCAGAACCAGAACTCTGGACCTTCAGTTTACAAACAGGAAGTCTAAATCCAAGTTGTTGCTCGTTTTCAGACGGTGGCGCCGTGGGAGCGCCGTAGCTTCCCCATGCCGGAGGACCCGGCCCTGGAGCCCGACCCGGTGGTCCGACCCCGGGTGCGCAGCATCTCCGGCTGCCGAGCGGCGCCGTACGGCCGCCTGGACTCTGACGACTCGGAGCTGCCCTGCGACGACGACAGTGGGTCCAAACTCAGAAGCTCCACCCACCGATGAGTGACGGACAGCTGGGCGGGGCCAGCCCCGCCCACACGCAGCTCCTCCGGCATTAACGAGCAGAACCTGGACGCTGACTCGGATCTAAAATGGGTTCCTGTTGTTTGATATTCAAACACCAGAATAATTTCACAGTTTTTAGTGAACTTTATGGAGATAGAAGCCTTTCCCTTCACTTTGTCACAAAGAAAAAAAGCTAAGTGTAATTTAAAAAAGTATAAAACACGTTTAAAGAGTTCTGTAGTGGCTGAACGATGTACATGGGGGCTCCGTGGTGTTTCATACGTGGCGTGAAACTCGTAGCGCACGATGTAGCCGACTCCTCAAAACATGGCCAAAGGGTGTTTTCTATAGTTTGCTTGTAAATCCCCATGTACATTTTTAGTGGAGTGACAAACAAAAACAGGAAAACAATTTAAAAAAAAAAAAAAACCACCCCCTCTCCCCATCAGATCCAGGTCCATCTGACCCCCCTCCCACCACCAGAGGGCGCCTGAGCACTTCTCTCTAACTGCCAAGTCTCTTTCGCTTTTTGTTTCCATTCCTGTTTGTTTGTTTGTTTATTGCTCCTGTTGGTTCAGTAACATTTTTTATTTGTTTATGGAGTAAAATCATTCCTCCGGTCCGTTGTGGGGGGGCTCCTCGTTCAGATGGGGGGGCTCCTCCTTTTCGTTGCTCGCCTGGCAGAACGCTGCTGCATGTTGAGGAGAAACATTTAATCTGATCACAGTAATCCCAGCTAATCTCACCGGACGTGGCTGTAAATCAAACTGTTCCTGCTTTTTACTGAACTCCAAGTGTAGCAGCCGTCAGACGCTCAGGTCGTTCCTTCTGATCAGAACCGGGTCTGTCTCTGGCCCCGCCCCCTCCACTTTAAATTGCTATGCAAAAAATCAAAAACAAACAAAAAAATCTTTTGTTTCTCACCACAGCCATTCACTGTTCTTTTTTTTTTTTTGTAGTTCCAGATGTGGATGTTCCCGTCGGGTTGTTGCAGCAGTTAACCTAATCAAACAGCTGAGTTTCCTTTTTGTGTAAATAGTCCTATTAAAACATTTATGTTTAACTCGGCCCGCTGTCCCGCCTCAGTCATTGACCCACTCGACTCTTTGAAGCGTTTATTTCAAATACACAAACATCAGGAACCAGTTTCATTAACGGCACGAGAACAACCACCACATCTGTACAGCGTCAGAAAAACTCAACGGTGGAGGAAGTGTGACTTCCTGTCTACGGCTCGTTCGTCCTCCGTGCTACTAAAGAACTCTGCATGCAGATAACGACCCCCTCCCCCCAGAGGAGGGGGACACGAGACGACTGGGGGGTGGGGGCACACGTCTCACATGAAGAGCATGCAAGAAGCGTGAAAATCATCCGGTTTGTGTCAGAACGGGAAACGTTGTCTTTGGAGGACAGAATGATTGACAGCCAGGTTTTAAACGATCCACACATCAGTCGGCTCGACCGGAGCGATGAGCGCAACGTTCTGCTGCTCACTAGTTTAAATACTGTACACGTTAAGTCCTCGTGACTCGAGCTGTAAAAACCAAGAACACTGACAGTAGCAGGCACGATACAAACGTTTCATGTCAAACACGGGTCATAAATCCACAGAACACGGTTAGAGAACTGGCCCGGCACCGACCCGACTCCCCCAAGCAACACCTGGATCACCTGTAGGGGCGTCGCAGCGAGAAGACGAACGGAACAGCCAGTTCTTACAAAACGGTAAATAAACACTAAATTTACAGCACCCGTTTATTAAATGTAACAACCGGCTACGGTGGAAAACAAAAACAATTTGTAATTATAGAAGAAACTTCGGCTCGTCTTTGGCTGGTGACTGAACTTTAGAAGTGAACGTGTAAATATTTGCAATGTTTGGCTAATTATTAGCATTCCCAGGAACAATACAGCTGTTTATCATTTTCTAGCTAATGAGTCCATCCAGATGATGATGGCATTGATTACAGTACGCCAACAAGAAACTTTTCATCCAGAGGTTGTCATTAGCATTAGGCTAATTTCAGCTGATTCTTATCAGTGTTGGGCACGGTGTAGCTAACAGTGAAACTTGACTTCGTTTAGCCGATTGGCCTTTTTGCCAAATCTGGAAAGTTAGCGGACCATTTAGCTTCCGCTAACCAAGTCTGTGAAACTTTCATTTCATTCAGTTTATCCCAAATTTAAAATCTAGCATAGCATCTTTAGCATTTTGTGCCTGTTTACTCAAGAGCTATAGCTCTGACTTGGATTGGCCAAACTGCCAGAGATGACTCCGCCCACCTTCCAATTAAACCAGTTCAATCAAAGGTCAGCAGGTCTGGGTCAATTGCTTTCACCGTTAGCTTCTGCTAACTTTATTTTGCCTGTTTAGAATTAGCAAAGCTTCTTCTTGTTTCACTGTTGTGCTAACGGCGCGCCTCTTGAAGCGTCGGCACGTTTCGGCCCACGAGTCGCTGGCTGTTCGCCAACGTAAGCGAATGAGCTTCTACCGTTTTAACACGGCATGAAATGTACAATAAAAAGATTTAGTGTCATTTTAAAGGTATTCCAATGAACCGTTTGAACCAGAACGAAGCCAGGGGTGCGTGACGCGGGTCAGTCTGGACCGGTAGGCGGACTCGTCTCGCCGGCTCAGACTGAACCCCTTCAGCTTCTGGCTGCCGGGGACGACACGAAGCCAAACACTTTTTTCTGCTTTAACAGGAAATTTGCTACTTTTCTTTAAACCATTTTCTCCCAGAATCCCCCGAAACTTCCTTCAGATCAGAGCGCCTCCGTTTCCTCTTCTTCTGTGGTTAAATAAATAAAAACGCAGCGGACCCCCAGCAGGGGTCCCAAAGGGTTCACAGTCCGTGAGAGGAAACCGGGTCAAGAAGTGAGACTTTTGAAACGGTCACTACAAAAAGTTGAAGTGGAGAAAAAAACACATTTTGTCTAATCAGTTAATTTGTTTTCTAAGCCTCTAACGGTAAAAAGGTTAGTGGGTGAGCGGTGGAGGACATGAAGAGTCCGGTGACGGCGAGGAGGAAGGCGTCAGGACTGCGTGGTGCCGGCGGGGCGCGCTCACAAGCCCTGCTTGGCCAGAGAGGCGGACACCTGGTCGGCCAGCGTGGACAGCTGCGGAGAGTCGGCCATGTTGATGCTGCCGGAGGACGACACGGTGCTGAGCTGCTGCGGGGACTCGTCCAGGGACACGATCTCTGCGCCGTGGTCGGTGCGGGCCTTGGCCGTCTCACGGAAGCTCAGCTTGTGGCTCTCAATCTGCGGTCGGACCAGAGTCAACATTTTTATTAATATTTCATCTTTTATCGAAGACAAACCGCGTCCAGCAGGTTTATTTTAGTGGAGCAGCAGAGAGCGCCCTCTGCTGGACAACACGAGGAACAACAACAAGTTTAACAGGCTGAAATAACTTTATTAAATTAATCTTTAAATTATTTGAATCACCTCAAACTAAACTAACTTTTACATCTCCTCATATTTAATGTTCGTAAAATAAAATGTTTTAAAGGGAGTTCAGTTTTTTATTTTAGGGATTTAAAAAGTTTGTGTTTTATTAAAAAGTGGAATAATAATAAATCTCATGGTTCAACACAAAAGCAGTTTTTTGACAAATATTGTTTTATGTAATTGATGATAAAATAATTTTACAGAAAACATTTTTATTGTGATTGTATTATAAAATATTTTTCTGTTTGCGAGTTTATAAACTGATATTTAACTTTATTAAACGCTGACTCAGCACTCAGCTGTAGCTTCTGTTTGTCTTCGGCTACTTTTACCTTTTCAGCTACTGTCCTGTTAATCGTAGCTTTTAGCTCCTTTTTGCTAAATGTAGCATTTAGCATTTTTCCAACAGTTTTGCCGTTTCAGTTTTTACCTACCATTCGGCTACTTTCTGCTTTGGGTTTGGATTTCTTTAAGCTTTCAGTTGAATTTTAACTGAGGTTTTGTCAGTTTCAGGGTTTAGCTACTGTTTAGCTGTGGTTTACAAATTTTAGGTTTCAGTTTTCTATGTCAGCTGTAGTTTTTAAGCTACTGTTTAGCTAAGTTGTGCTAGATTAAGCTTTCACTAAAGTTTTGCCTATTGAATGATTTTAGCTATATTTAGCTTTTGATTGTTTCACAAATATTAGCTTTTAGAAACTGTTTTAGCTTACATTTACAGTTTAGCTGAATTTGGGTTTTCTCTTCAATACTACCAATTTTATCTTTAGCTGTGGTTTTACCAATTCTTTATTTTATCTACAGCTTTGCTACATTTAGCATTTGGCCATTGTTTAGCTACACTCGGCTTTTTGCTTTGCTATTGCTAATTTAATCAACAGTTTGGTCATTCTTAGCATTTACCTACAATGTTGCTACATGTAGATTTTAGCTATAGACTAACACATTTTAGCTTTTAGCTATGGTTTCACCTTTTCTACATTTAGCTTTTCTCTTGTAGATCATTTTAACCTTCAGATACTGTTCAGCTGATTTTAGCTCTAATAAAATTCTTCGGCTGATGTCTCAGCCTGGACTTTAACAGAGGTGACTGAAAGTCGGCCCTGAGGATAAACCAGATGTTTCGGCTGATACTCACGGGAGTCCTCAACCTTTATGAGGGGGTTCGTCAGGACGGGTGAGACGAGAGCTGAAGGGACTGTCTGAGGCGACTGGGGGGGGGAGACAGCGGGGGAGGGGATGGACGAGCTGCCTGAGGCGCTCCCCTCGGCATCCCTCGGCCGCTACAGAGGAGCCCCGGCAGAAAGAAATGAGGCAACAAAAACACACGATGGTTTCAACAGAAATAAACAAAAACAAACAAACAAAAGCAAAACATGAGAAAACAAAATCCAAACAAAAACAAGGAGAACGTCAGAAAACAAAAAACTGGATGGAGACGATGGAGGGAGCTGAAGATGGAGACCTGCAGCCTCAGAGGAGAGCCTTCAGCTGATGTTTGCCTGTAAACCTCTGGACTCTAGACCTTCAGCTGATGTTTGTCCGTTTACATCTGCAGACGACTAGACCTTCAGCTGATGTTTATAAACATCTGCAGATGACTAGGCCTTCAGC